AATGTATGGGCCAACACTCCATCCAACTGAACCACATCAGCCAGGGCAGCTTTGTGTGTTATTTTATTTTATTTGTTTTTTATTGTGTGTGTGATTTTAAAATTTCATTTTTATTTTATTTTGCTAGTATCAGTCTTTAATGGATTGAATACACACACACACACACACACACACACACACGCACGCATGCACACGCACACACATATACTCCTGGTCCCTCCCCACCAAAGTTTGAGAAGCACTGGTTCCAGAGCACAGAAACAGCCAGAAGCAAATAAGTCAGGTGAGCTGGAAGAGAAGGCATACGTTTAATAGTTTCTACCTGTAACAAGTGCACTCATTAAGTTGTACTTAATAATAATCTCAGCAACCCCATGGGATTGATGGTATAGTCTCTTTTTTAAAAAATATATTTTTATTGATTTCAGAGAGGAAGGGAGGAGAGAGAAAGAGAGAGAAACATTAATGATGAGAGAGAGAGAGAGAGAGAGACTTTTAAGAAACAAAATACTCAGAAAAAACCTTTGATCTTCCCCCTAAACAGAATTTAGATAAAGGATGAGGACCTGCTTAATGAAGGGAGATATCATCATAGATAACTATAGCTTAACCTGAACTAGTGTGTGATAAACAGGGAGGAACCTAGCAAAGCCTTTTATCAAAGTCTTCTCTGTGTCCCATTGTTTCAAGATGACCCAACAAACATTTGTTTACTAAACTTTAACTCTTTACTCATCTCCTTTTAAATTGACTTCCTTTTGAAGTCCTAGACCCCTATCATCCCCCTCTTTAGTTCAGAATGACAGATACACCTCATTATGCTTCACTTTCTGGTGAATTTTAATGCTTATGTGAAGTCCTTGTGATTTTCTCCTGTTAATATGCCTTATTTGACCAGCCAGCAGAACAAAGAGGAAATAGGCAAAGTTCCCCTATCATTGCTTTGTTTGTTATTTTTAGAAATTTATTAATTATTAGAGAGAGAGAGGAATAGAAGGAGAGAGAGGGGAAAACATTGATTTGTTATGCAATCATCATTGGTTGAATCTTGTATGTGTCCTGACCTGGGATCCAACCTGAAACCTAGGCATGTGCCCTGGCTGGGAATTGAACCCAAGACCCTTCAATGTATGGGCCAACACTCCATCCAACTGAACCACATCAGCCAGGGCAGCTTTGTGTGTTATTTTATTTTATTTGTTTTTTATTGTGTGTGTGATTTTAAAATTTCATTTTTATTTTATTTTGCTAGTATCAGTCTTTAATGGATTGAATACACACACACACACACACACACACACGCACACATGCACACGCACACACATATACTCCTGGTCCCTCCCCACCAAAGTTTGAGAAGCACTGGTTCCAGAGCACAGAAACAGCCAGAAGGCATGAAGCAGATAAGTCAGGTGAGCTGGAAGAGAAGGCATACATTTAATAGTTTCTACCTGTAACAAGTGGACTCATTAAGTTGTACTTAATAATCTCAGCAACCCCATGGGATTGGTGGTATAGTCTCTTTTTAAAAAAATATATTTTTATTGATTTCAGAGAGGAAGGGAGGAGAGAGAAAGAGAGAGAAACATTAATGATGAGAGAGAGAGAGAGTCATTGATCAGCTGCCTCCTGCACGTCTGCCACCAGGGATCACACGCACACACATATACTCCTGGTCCCTCCCCACCAAAGTTTGAGAAGCACTGGTTCCAGAGCACAGAAACAGCCAGAAGCAAATAAGTCAGGTGAGCTGGAAGAGAAGGCATACGTTTAATAGTTTCTACCTGTAACAAGTGCACTCATTAAGTTGTACTTAATAATAATCTCAGCAACCCCATGGGATTGATGGTATAGTCTCTTTTTTAAAAAATATATTTTTATTGATTTCAGAGAGGAAGGGAGGAGAGAGAAAGAGAGAGAAACATTAATGATGAGAGAGAGAGAGAGTCATTGATCAGCTGCCTCCTGCACGTCTGCCACCAGGGATCAAGCCCGCAACCCAGGGCATGTGCCCTTGACCGGAATTGAACCTGGGACCCTTCAGTCTGCAGGCTGGCGCTCTATCCACTGAGCCAAACTGGCTAGAGCAGTGGTATAGTCTTGACTTTACAAAGGAGGACAAAAAAAACTCAGAGAAGATAATGAACTCGCCCCAATGGAGCCAGGAATCAAACCAGGCTGTCTTTGAATTTTCAGTCCCTCTAAGATCTTCACATTGGATCATTGTCCTGTCAGTGTCCTTCTCTTGTCTATCAATACCTATGATCATAGTTCATTCTGGGACCAGCTGTTCCAGAGCCCACGGTCCTGCATTGCTTCTCACATGTCCTCAGCAGTCAGTTCACTCATCTTTTACTAAGTCAGAAAAAAGAGTCTGTTTTCTAACCCAGTGGAGCATGGTGTGTCTCATATGTCAAAAAGAAAGGTTAAAACAATATCAGCAACCGCTTCCTCATTTCCCATCCACATACACACACACACACACACACACACACACACACACACACACACTGCAAACACGTAAAATAAGTTCTGCTCTCTCCCTCTCACTGGAGTAGTCAGGTATTTTCCTGGCTTGAATTGCTTTCCCTTCTGTTAATGTGCTTTTAAAAAAAATAATAGTTTATTTTTTATCATAAACTTTTATGGTGAGTTTTTTATCAAAAACTTTTTCTCAGAAACTATTAATCAAGAAAGCATTTTACAAGACATTTTTTAGTTTTATTTTTCAAATAAAGAAAGATGCCTGAATTCAAATGAAAACATGAGTAGATTTAAAAGGAGAAAAAAATCAAAGATATTCATGATAGTGATATGATTTACAATGGGAGGCAGAGCTTTTGGATAAAACAAAGTGTTGCTTGAACAATGAATCCTTAGACATGTGTACCAATTTAATGCCTTTTCATTCTGCAATTTCAAAAAGCTTAAAATCATTAAATTAAATAGAGATTTAGTGGGGCCAGGTCTTCTCTTTTCTTCATTTTGAAGGACCAATAATTAAAAAATTAATTAGAGGTAACTTGAGAAAAAGGGTTTTGTCTAGCATCATAAAGAGAACAGCTATTGAACACGTTTAGCATACATGAAAACTTTACATAATGTTATTTAATTTAAGCCACATAACATCCCAAAAGGTAGGAATTTTTTTTATCCTGCTTTATTGATAGGAAATTGAGGCCCAGGGAAGTTAAGTAACTAGCATCAGGCTTCGAAGTTAGTAATGACGAGATCAGAAGAGAAACTGCATGTGTGAGTGCGAAGCCCATGCAAACTCTTGATATTCTATTTTACAGGATTAAAACATAAGCAAAAACCAGCTGTTAAACTCATTAACTCTGGGATCTCTACTTTGTTAAATGACTTTATTTGATGCAGAATGAGGCTCTTAGAATCACATCCACTGGGAACTTTTTCTCACTTTGTCTACATGTTTGCATTGGACTATTTAAAAAGTTAAGAAATGTAGATAATTTCTTTTGGCAAAAGAGTTGCCTAATATTCATTGTTGAATTCAGGAGGCAATTGGACAATTGTTCTTCTTCTGTAGTGTGGTTGAGGATGGGAATCTACAGAAGTAGGGTTTGAGGGCTGTGCAACTTTTTAGGTGTGATATTTAGGCAAACTAGTTCATCTTTCTATGCCGAAGCCTTTCCTTTGTAAATTGACATTATGAATACCTAACTCTCAGGCTTTTTGTGAGAACAAATTAAATAATATAAACAAAGTGCTTAACACCATGTAAAGCACAGAATAAATGTTCAATGAATTGTTGCAAATTCTAAGTTAATTTAAGTAGTGATCTTGCAGCATGTTGGAAAAGGCTTTAGTGATCTTTAAAAACAAAATGCCAATAACAAAACCAAACAATAAAAGCAGTAAGCTTTCAACACAAGAGTATAAATACTCTTGAATAGCAGAACTGGTATAAAATATACAAAGAAGAGCAGTTGATTTTTAGCAGCCCTCTCATTTTCATTTTTATCCTGTAGACTTCTACTACATATAGGCAACTGAGAGATCATGTTTTGCAAGATATTGCTAATTTAAAAAAATAGTTTCACATTTATTTGTTGTAAGGGTGCAGAGATTTGTATTTATGCAAATACTGTAACAAACTGCACAAACCTTCAATACACAGATAGTCTTTTACTACAACAATGACTGCTGCCCTTACCATTATTGGGGTTTTCCTGTAGACCAGGCTCTGACCCTGCATGAGACATGAAAACAGGACACTTGGCATTAGTCAAAGTTCCTTCCCTATTCCCTGAAAGGTTGACAATACCATTATATCCCTATTTTAAGAGGCAATCTTTTTTAAAAAATATTTTTTAAATTGATTTCATAGAGGAAGAGGAAGGGAGGGAAGATAGAAACATCAATGATGAGAGAGAATCATTGATCGGCTGCCTCCTGCACGCTAATGAGGATAGAACTTGCAACCCGGGCATATGCCCTTGACCGGAATCGAAGCTGGGACACTTCAATCCGAAGGCCGACTCTCTATCCACTGAGCCAAACCAGCTAGGGCTAAGAGGCAATCTTTTAAGCACACAACTTTGAAGCCAGAATGTCCTGGGTTTGATTCTTACTTCTTGCACTTAGCTGCTAGCCTTGGACAAGTTTCTCGATTTCTCTGAGCCTGCTTCCTGATATAAAATGAGGACAATATCCATTTTATGGCTTTTTTTGCATTAATTAAGGAAGGTAACAATTACCTGAAGCATCTTTAATGCAGCACCTCTCAACAAGTGGTACCCACAATTGTTTTTATTTTGTAAAAGAGGAAACTGAGAATTATTTGTAGGCGTGGAGCTGGATCCCAGATCTGTCTGATTCTTAGGCCAGCGTTCTTTATTGATTACAACATAAGATAAGTAAATTGTCTTTGATAAAGGGGATTAGGGCGAAAAAATACTTAATTTCTCCATGCCCTGCAGTGACCTGTAGATTCTTTATCGTTCACTGTTTAGCTATACTGTTATTTTTTTTTTTACTTTTTAGCAATTTGGGGCATGGAAAGTATAGTGAAAATACCTTCACACTTGTTTAGTAACCTCCCAGCCTGTCCTCAGGGTCCGACAGCAGAAGCTCACCTAATTCAACCTTCACCAGCGCACAAAACGCACCAGCGGTGCCCCGCCTAGATGTTTATATTTTCCTCCCTCGGCCACGCCCCCCGACCACGCGGGGCTCCGGCCACGCCCCCAAGCTGGAGTTCCAGGAACAGACTTGCCTAGCACCTCAGCCTGCCCACAGGGATTCCCTTTCCAGCCAATCGCGCGTGAGCAACGGGATTGCCCCTAACAAATATGGCGGGCGAGGCCTCGGTGAGGGCAGACTGATTTAACACCCAAACCCGGCGGCCAGCGAAGACAGTGGTAGCGACGCGGCCCCGAGCATGGAGGGCGGCAGCGCGGGCAACGGTGGCAGCGACAGCAGCCCCAGCGGGAGGGGCGGGG